GCTGCCCGTGCCAGGCCGCTAGGTCGGTGCCGGTGCTAGGCCGCCAAGTTGGCGCCCGTGCCAGGTCGCCAGTTCGGCGCCTGTGCTAGGCCGCCAGGTCGTGCCTGGGCCTACCCGCCAGGTCGCGCTTGGACTAGGCCGCCAGGTGGGACACCATCAACTTGGCTAAGGCAAGTTGTTGTCTAAGTGGTTCCGGGTGTCACCTACTTGTTCCGAGGTTGGAGGGCCAAATCCACCCTCATCAATAATCAATCACCTACAAATTAGATTTACTATTATTGATATATTTTTTGAGATTTATTTACATTTTTCCAGTACATCTATGTGTATCCTAATTTTTCAACCACATTCATGCATTATCTAAAGTATATCCAAATATGTCTCTTCAATACTTTGAACCTTGGTAAGGTCTATTGGACCACTGTGACATAGATATTAGAGGCCATGGAGGTCACACCTCCAACACAAAGTATAAACATTTTAAATGGAATCCGTCCAGCAACCAGGTGGAAGAAATGGTCATCAGGAAAAAGGGAGTCTCATAGCATTTCCTAACAAAATCTCAAAGACAAATATATTTCAGCACGAGTCTCCTGGCGTAAAATACGCTTCATAGCAGCCCATTGCATAGTGAGAGCCAAAATCCTTAACAGAAAGTGATGGCCCATCTGATCAATTAGTTCACAAACTAAGGAGATGGGGGCCCAATAACAAAAATATCATCCACAGAGATGAGTAGTACATTAAGAGTGATCTCATTGGCAAAGAATAAAGTATCAAATGTGGCTCTCTGAAATCCAGATGCAAGTAGAAAGGAGTTTAATTTCTCTTACTAGGCTCGTGGGGCCTATTCAAGCCCATAAATAGACTTCTTGAGGCAATGAACGTGATGAGGAAAGTATCAAATGTGGCTCTCTGAAGAAATGATATGTGGTGGTCGCATGGCTATACAAGGAAGATGTTGATTTGAAGAACAAACAGTAGAAGAAGAAAATGGGAAGCAATCTTCGGTAAATAATACATGTCTAGAGAGATAAACATGTCCAGTGGGACGATGAAGACATTTGTATCCTATATAGGAATCATGATAGCTCAAGTAGAGCGTTCAGAGTTGGAGTTGTATGGTTGGGTAAATGGAAAATATTCACACCCAAAGATCTTCAGTGCAGTATAATCTGGGATGGTGGGAAAGAGAACTTCCGACGATGTCTTCATATTAAGTACAGGAGTGAGCACTGAGCAGTCGATTTGCTAAATATACAGCAATGTGAAAGGCCTCCTACCAATAAGTAGTGGGAAGGGATGAGTTTGCAAGTAATGTCAAACCAGTCTCTACACTATTCGGTGATGTCAGTCATTCAGCAAAACCATTCTGCTCTTGAGTACGAGGACATGAGAATCTGTGATGAATTCCATGAGACTCTAAGAAGGAAAACGACCTTTTAAACCAAAGTTTTAAAAATTGACCCGGAAATGAAATCGCTCTAGCCACCAGTTTCCAGGTCGGTAGATTGATTGTCTGGGTCAAGCGGTCCAAACCGTTTTAATTTATATCTCATCCTACTCTTTGCATTGGAATATTAGGGTAGGATGGGGGATATAAATGTTATGAGAAAGGGGCATGAGAAAGAGAGTGAAAGGAGGGTCTGTGAGGTCTGTTGGCTCAGAGAAGGGAAAAGAGAAGAAGAAGAAGAAGAAGAGAAGGACAAGGAGGAGGAAGCAGAGGTGTGGGTGGCCTGTAACAGCAAGGCGACCTACAGCGGCAACGGCGATGGCAACCTGCAGTGGCAACAACGGTGACTTGCAGTGTCGACACATCTCTTAGATCTCTCTCTCTCTCTCGTATCTGTAACCTGAGATCTCTCACAGATTTCATATATGAAAATAAAATCTCTCTCATCTTTCTCTCTCTTAGATCTGAGATTGATCTTGCTTCTCTCTGTTTTTTTATGTTATTTTATTTTTTTGAAAATTTTAAATAAAACATACTGGACCACAAACTATTGCCTGGGTCAAAAGATTCAATGGTCAGACCATCCAAGTCAACAGTTATTAATAACATAATGGTTCAGCACTAAAACAGAATCAGTACCTTGACCAATTTTCGGTCCAAACGGGCCAACTGTCTAGGTCAACAACGGTTCAAAAATCCTATTTTAAACTCTCCTCCACCAGGAGTAAATAGTGCAAACAAAGAATCTTCTCAACGAACATCGATAAAAATCTCCCTTTTGTCAACGACCAAGATGAAAAACGTTAAACTGATGATAATGTTTTTCAAAATACCTATTTTACCCCTCCAACTGTGACGCATGGCACAACCACGAGTTCTCTCTCTACAATGGCCATCCCTTCGTTTCTAATTCCTGCAATGGTTATAAAGATGCAGGATATATCTCACTTTCTTTGATAGCAAGGAAGCTCCATCTGAACACAGTTATCGTCATCGAGCAAGAACTTGACTTAGTGATTGACATCAGCTGCAAACTTGTCGTACGTCCGATGATCGGTGTACATGCATAATGAGAAAGAAGATAAACAGTGTTCATAAAAGGGTAAAATAGGTATTTTGAAAAAAATGATCATCTCTTTACCGTTTTCCGTCTTGATCATTGATGAAAGGGAGATATTTGTTGAATTTTTAAAAAATAGAGGGGAGATTTTTGCTAAAATGAAGGAAAATTTTTATGATTGTAAGAGAGATTTTTGTATTTTATCTTAATAATTAAAACCATTGCATGGAGTAACATGGGCTGGTCCCCATATATCAGAGAAAATCAACGGAAAATCATAAGTAGATGCAGTAGATTCAAATGGTAATTTATGAGCTTTCCCCCAATGGAAGATTGTTCACAGACGCGAGGTAAGCCTGGATGATACAATCTTGCATTCCACATATTTGATAAGTGGTAATGGTAAGGTAGGTATATGGTTTTTTTTCTTCCTTTATGCTACGAAGCTTATATGGCTCTAGCAGGTGACCTCAGGACTTATGAACTACTGCGATCCCTTAACGCTTAGTTTGGAAGGAATAGAAATGCAAATATGTAGAGTGCAAAATCTTATATTTTATGTATTTATACTACATATTTGCATTTGTACTCTTTCCAAACCGAGCTACCGAAGGTCAAGATTTAATAGTAGCGGGGAAGGTTAGGTATGACTTGGACAGCCTGTAAACAGTTTAAGCTCTCTCTCCCTCTCTCTCTCTCTCTCATGTGCGCAATCAATCAATGGCGAAATTTTGGGAAACTTGATTCTGCATATAATACACCAACCGACACCTTAAGTCTGAAAGACAGAAATCCAAGACTTCGAAGCTTTACCCATGCCCAATTTGGTTAGTCCTGACTGGTGTTAGGTGTATCGCTTATGTCCCCTTTATCAGAAATGGGATATTGCTCAAATCGCCCCATTTTCATCTTGCTGAGAGAACTTGTTTGATATGTGAAGCAGAAGATAGTGGGCCCCAATGAGCTGTAGGTTCAACAAAAAAATTACCATTTATGATACCAATCAGAGAAAACTCATGCGTCTCCTGGTGAGAATTCTGGGTCCTCATCAATGCATTCCAAGCCAGAAGTTGGTGTCCAAAAGATACAAATATGGTTAGTATTTGAATTTAATATGAAACACATTTACAGTCTGTCCATGTCATGTCATGTGCTACCTCTGCAGGCAACTACCAAAGACTTCTTCAATCAATTAACATGCATTTAGATTTACAACGCCCACTGTACAATCTTACCAGGAGATTTACAAAACTTGGAGTTAGCATATAATATAGGAAAAGGCCAAATCCAAAATTCTAACCATCTTATATGAACTTGCACAAAGCAACCATCCATGAATGCTCATCCATATTAAGCAATTTACAGTACCCACTTTAGATTGCCCAGATGTTTGGACTACCTGTTGGATGGGAATCAGCAGAAACTTTATTAATCAATGAAACCTTTATTTTCTGATCAAGTATCAAAGTTAGGGATAGTGATGGTTAAGATTAAGCTGTAGGGTAAATGGGAAAAACATCCTCAATCAATGACTGCCTCTGTACAGGGCACTATGACATTGTGAAATTATTAAGGATCTAACTTAAGAGATACAGATGGTGAAGATTGTAGTTTTGGAGCAGGTTGGCACGCCAACCTCATCCAATGAATCATGATATGGCACCATGGATTCATAAAAATGTCTTGCAACATGTTAGACAAAAAGTGCAGCTTTTCCTTTCATGTGTTACCCCTGCTAGAATCCACAATGATGGCAACCATACATAAATGCACTAGGAGCATATAAGCAATCATGCACTTCTATCCACTTTATTTTATGTAAAAGAAAAAAAAACAATTAAACTTTAAACATTACATGCTTTTGGACTTCAGAGCCCAAAATTTTAGCCCTGATTTCAAAAACACTTTCTATTAAATTATTTGGTAACTAAAGAACCCCTTAAGATACATCAATTAAAAAAGCAAACCAACAAAGCCAATCAAATTAACCAACCAACCTGAAGAAAAGCCATTTCACCTCTAATGCTCCCCCATCCCCTGGTATAAGTTATGGAATAGAAATCATCTCGAACAGCAAGAAAATTTGCTCTGATTTTGGTTCGATCCATCAGCTCCATTATTAACAAGGCTCACCCTATTGACTGACAATTCTGCCTTGTAGGAATCAGAATTCAAGACTTTTCTGCTGACATTGTTGTAGATCTCCCGGATAACCATTTCAAAAGCTGTTTTAACATTTGTAGAATCTAGGGCAGATGTTTCCATGAAGAACAACCCTTCAGATTCAGCAAGAGCTTTGCCTTCCTCAATGCTCACATCCCGGATATTTCCCAAATCGCATTTGTTCCCCACCAACATCCTCGCCACAGTTGTATCAGAATGTGCTGCACAATTGTTCCAAAGAGCTCAGACACTTCTAGATTTCCAAAACCAGATATAAAAATGATAATTCAGAAAATGGAATAACAAACTGTTACTTCTTTAAGAAACAAACTAAAATGAAGGTTGTATCATAGCTAACACACCGATGTACAGTACAATTACTCAAATTCTAAATGACTATCCTTCAGTAAGATGTACAGAGATGGGAGTCATGTGACTACAATGCAAAAGATAAAGGTCTGACATTAAATGGCTCCCAACTACCAGATCTACATGGTCAAACAGTTATTGTGATCAGATGACCACAACACTTGATTTTACAATATTTATTTAGACAAGGAAAAGGACCAGAAATTAAAGTTCCCAAAAGAAGATATACATGTCAGACGGTAAAAATTCTGGATCATGCTTCACCCTCCCCTCCCCACTCCCTCCTCATCAGTTTCTGAAGACACATTGCAAGTGAGAGGCATGTAACTTGTCATGCTTAAGGAAAGATGTTGTAACTTTGAGAATGCAGACTTGAAAAACTCACAAAAACAATCACAACTCTGAGAATGTACCTATTAAATCTATTCCAACCATGCAGCATTCACAAATTGCCATTTCTCAATAGACAGTCATCATAATCTTGGAAGGAATCTATTCATGTTCATACAGTAAATTGAAATAGCAAGTGCCCAGTGGGATTTAAGGAAGTTGGGTTTGGGATTGTAGATAACATTATTTGAACACCAAGACTTCTAATAATCAGCATAAGCATTGATCAAAACATTCATGGACATATAATTAAAATATAGTAGTATTAGAGTGTTCTGTTGTCCAATAGTACTAAAATAACTCCCTATGCTTTTGTCTTGGTTATGGACATCAATATTCTACATGGAGCATCCAACAAAGATGCCACACTCATGGTCCCATAACCATGCTCTTTTCACATGAAACATGAATACCATTTTTTGGCTCCATGGGGCTAAACAATTGAGAGGTAGCCCATCCCCTAAACCCATAAACCCCCTGAACTCTGGTGCAGGCGGGATTCAATCCCAAGTCTCCACTACAACCAGCAGGAGACCTTACCAATCAGCCAATTGGCACCTTGCACATGAAACATGAATACCTGAAGAATGTAAAGGAGTAAAACAAAATAATTTGTTTGAGCATGAGACAAACATGACACTGTTAAAAAGAATTAAATTTGATTCCCATACCCCAATGAAATTGTGAAATTATTAAGAATCCAGATTCCAGAAAGCCACAACTGAGAGATGTCTAAACATATACATATATATACATACATACATACATATACATATATATATATAGTGTGATATATTGCAGTTGTACCTAATATGAACCCATTAAGCTACTGTATAACATTTTGAATGGGATGTGCATTTGTAGATGGTTAATTCACATGCAGACACATCCATGGATGGATGAAATTAGAATGAAAACACAAGGTGCATTCTATCTTGAACAGTTAAAAGGAGCCAAGTAAACACTCGTACAAATATCACATATGACAATGTAAAAACCCATAGAGTTGTCTCTGCCAGTAATATGACAATATCATACAATATCACACAATTTTTAATGAAAACACCATGCAACGATGTGATAATATCATACCACAGCCTTTTCTCAAAAATTCAGAAGCATCAATTTTTTGAATTGAAAATTCGTCAAATACCCAAACAAAAATTACTCAGTGATTTCAACATAATGCCTAAAATCTCTTCAACAAATAGATATTTCCCTCCTATGGTCCATGGCATAATCAGCTAAGAAAAGATAAATCCGATGCAATCGAAAGAAAGGGAAAAAATTGGAATAATAACAAATAAACCACGCTATAATTTTTACCAAACTACAGAAAACACCTAAAATTGGAAGAATTGCCAAGATCTTGCTTGGATAGAACATATTTCCCATAATAATCTTGCCAAGAAAATGAATCTCAAATAGTTACAATAAGAAAAGGAAATTCTATATATAAATAGAGTAGCCGAACAAAATGAATCCAAAATAAACGTCCACCAATAATTTTGGATAAAACCTACAGGAAGAAAGAAAAGAAAGGAAAAACTGCCCCAAATAGAATTAACAGAATATGAGGAGAAGAACACACTCGATCTGCTGTCTTCACATTGGAAAAGAATTAGGAGAAAAAAAATAATTTTCCCTCAAGTTTAAGGAACTCTGAAGAAAATAAGATATAAAAGCCCACATTTGAAAAATATATTATTAGAGTATAAAACAGTAAGCAATAAATCAGGCATAAATCAAAAAATTATATACAACCTAACAGGCTCAGATCTACAACTCCTACTCACCCGTCAAAATCATCCAATCAAAACCCAAAACATACAATCCCGAGTTCAACGGACTAGGAAAACAATCAAAAAATGCAAACTGCGGTTCAATTAAAGGACGAAAATAGGGGGTTTATGTCAGATTGTTTGAAGTGAACGAACGTACTATTGAGCTCATCGAGCCATCGGCCGACGCTTTCGAAGGTGGTGCGTCTGCTGATGTCGTAAACGATGAGAGCACCGACAGCCCCTCTGTAGTAAGCAGAGGTGACAGCACGGAACCGCTCCTGACCGGCTGTATCCCAAATCTGGGCCTTGACTTCCTTTCCATCGATATCCATGCTCTGCGTCTGAAATTCAACCCCGATCGTCGCCTTGGAATTCATGTTGAACTCGTTCCTAGCATATCTGGACAACAAATTCGACTTCCCAACTGCAGAGTCTCCGATTATCACCACCTTGAAGAGGTACTCCTCCCCCTCATCATCCTCCATTGCTCCGTTTCTCTACTGAGAGGAGCTTTTGGATTCAGATGGACAGAGAGGAAAATGGGTAGCCGGAGCTTTGCAGGTTTGAAGGTTGAAGCAGATCAGAAAAGAGAGATGGATTTAGGGGAGGAGCTAAAAATGGCGGAAAGTGGGCTAAATTTGGAGGAGAGAAAGGAGAAGAAGACAAAAGACTCAAGGGAGAGACAGGGGAAGAACGGCAAAGTGAAAGGCTGGCAGGGACATAACTGCGGGAGTAGTGGGGCTGTTACACTCTTTCTTACATGGTTTTAGAGTCTAGACATTAGTCAATGCAGTGTGTTAACACTTCTATTTTCCTTTCTTTTTCTTTTTTCTTTACTATATTATTTTTAATATTTGTCTTCGGTGTTCATTCCAAGGACATATAAGCCTCTCATTCTTTTATTTTTTTATTTTTTTCTTTTTACTTCTTTTTTGACATGATGAAATATGATAGGCAGCCCATTTTATGGACTTGTGGAGTGGGCGGAGGATGGGATCCAGATCCGATCCACTGTGACCCTATATGTAGTGTACATGTTAGTTTGGGAGAATTTTCGTGTGGCGGTTCTCGCATCACTGGTGAATCTAAGATGCCATGAAGCCGTGTGAAGCTGTGACAGGCAGTGCTTTTAATCCGTTGTTGATCTGGTCAATTGAATTGTTTGAACTGTCATTCGATTTTGATTTCGGGTGATTTGATACAAAAAAACCATTGATTTAGATGTTTCAATCGGTGACATGTGACTCAAAAGTAAAAGTAAAAGCAGATTAGTTTCCAGATCAGTTTTTAAAATATTGTTTGGCATTGATGATGATTTTTCCTTTCTGTTTATCAAGAAATTAGTGCTTTCTGGAATCAGTGATTTTTGAAAATTCATCAAAATTTGTTGTTTGGTATCATTTATGTCATGTGAACTGATTTTTAAAATATGACTTTGAGTCTGTTTTGTACTGATTTTTAAGGGCTGATTATTTTTGTATTAAAGTTATTATTCAATGCCATGTTGGGTGCTATGTCATCCACAAAAAATCGGAATCAATTAAAAATCAGGAAATCACCAAAAAAAAAAAATCCCTAAAAAGGGCTGATTTCAATAATCGATTTTTGGTGGATTTCCCAGAAATCGGCATAATAGACCAACCAAACAAGAAAAAAAACCACTGATCTTTCAAATTCTGAGGTAGATCCTACTTAGTGTAGATTTCTGAAAAATCATCATCAATGCCAAACATCACCTAGAACCCTCCCAAGGTTCTAAACCACTTGATGAAGTTTACAAAGATGGCTTCACTGAAAATTTGATTTCACAGCCCATGACTTTCCATATGGGGCCTGCATTCCACACTGAAAATTTGATTTCACAGCTCATGACTTTCCATACTTTTAGCTTTCTGGATTTTTTCACCAAACATGACTTCAGGGCTTTCCATTTGAAGCCCCTACGTAAGGGACACTTAAAGAAGGTGGATCATTTATGCATTTTGTTGCATCATCAGAAGAGGAAACCGGATCCGTACATCCAGATCCAAAAATAAAAATAGAAGCATCGTATTTCTTATGCATTCAGATCTGGACCCTAAATCTTGTTTCATTCCCCACCTCAAATAAGTGATAAGTATTTTATCAATAAATAAATAAACAAGTGATAAGTGTGGAATCCTTTGAAATTTATTCGTTTTTTTTCTTCTTTTCGGAATAAATATAATCAATGTTTTAAAAATCAACACAGAATTGGAATTGCTTTGACCATCAATTTTTGAGTCAGTTGTTCAACTGTCAAATTCGGAGTGATGGTTAGACTGTCTGGATCATCAAGTCATTGACCAAATCAACGATTTTTGGCTAAGATACAGGTTAAAGGTAAAACAGAACCAGTTGTCTGAAGGGTCTTTAGGACAAACGATCTGACCATCCGGGTTAACAATGATTCAAAAACCATGAATATAATAATTCATAACAGTATTGGCAGAATCAGATTAAACCGGATGGTTGAACTGATGCATCAATATTCAATTACCTGATGAGCTTTCCTCTCCATTGGCCTCAATGGCTAAGCTTTGATGGGGCTGCTTTTGCTGTGCCCCTTTGAAGTTACAATGTTCCATTTGAGAGGGCAGAATTGAACCTTGAACCGCTCTAAAAATACAAGAACAAACCCTTGACTGTGTAAAATTTTCACCAAACATAGTTTATAAGGCTGTATTTGGCATTCCTTATTTTAAGGACTTAGCTTATTTCCTTTTTCTCAGTTAAAATGAACACTAAATTCTTAACTGTAAAATGGAGGTAAGTCATTAAAATAAGAAAAGCCAAATACAGCCCAAGTCATCTGTGTAGAGCCCATCATCTCAGAAAGCCTGAAGCAATTGCGCTTCAGTCCTTCTAAACGGACAATAAAAGAAGTTTCAATGAAAAGCCATTTTTTGGTTGAACAACAACATACTTAAGACTTCAATTTAATTTTTCATCAAATAATTCCATGCAGCTATAATTTTTATGGACTGGATGGACAATCAGAATATCAAATTGACCTGAACTTTCCGGTTTTTGTCTGGTTCAAGTTCGAACTGATGAATGAACCAATGGTGTGATGATCATTTTCTAAGAGAAGAGTTGTTTGGCTATCCAGTTCCATGTGGTTGGACATTTAACTGTTTACATTTTTAATTCAAAACTTCACTGAAGGGGAAGGAATTGTTTACATTTAGATTTATTTGTTTGAAATTTATTATTAATAAAAAATTGCAACATAGAAATTGAGTGTAACAGATGCCTTAACCAACAGCTAAATATGAATAAAAAACTTAGATCTCAAACTATGAAAATAGCTAACAAGAAAGCTATTGTTCTATTAAAGAAAAGGATCAGTACATTGAAAGGGGGAAAGAAGGGGGTTTTGGAAAGAGATGTACTTTACTTTACCTCTCAATTAGCTTTAAAACACTATTATCAGTTGGAATGGCTGAAATTAAGAAATGGTGAAACACTGAAACCTAGTCCTATGTGGCCCACGAATACGAAATCATGGACAATCTTGACAGTGCACAATATATACGATATTTGAAAAGAAGAGTATGTGGCAAATACCTTAAACAACATTAATACAAATTATGAATTCAGTCCCACTCTTCAAAAATAACTGAGTGAAGAAAGTTAACAAGTTTAAGATAGAAAAGCAGTAATATCAGACTCTTCAGACCGTATGGTTGAACCGGTGGCGGAGGGGATGTTTGGTATAACTTCATTGTATTGCGAGGGTTTGAGCAGGGAGGGGTTAGGGTTTTTTTTTTTTCCTTAAATGGGCCAAAAGCTAATAAACATAGATAAGGGAGGGGATAGGGGTGGATTCGAGCCGAGTCGAACTGATCAAATACTTGACTATTCGAGCTTGGCATGCAGGAATAGTATCAGGCTTGAACTCAAGCTTGAGCTCGATTTGAGTTAGAGACTTGAGCTCGAGCTCGATTTGAGGTAGAGACTTGAGCTCAAGCTTGACTATAAGCCAAGTTTTTTTTTTGAAAAAATAAAAATTATATCTATAAAAGAATTTTTTATTTTTTAGATAAAAAATTAAGATTTATAAATATTATTTAATATTATATAGACAAAAAATAATTATAAAAATTATTTACTATTATACATGAAAAATAAAAATATTATATTAATAAAAATACTATTACATATATAATAAAATTATATATATATATATATATATATTTATATGTACGTATGTATGTATGTATGTATGTATGTNGTATGTATGTATGTATGTATGTATGTATGTATGTATGTATGTATGTATGTATGTATGTATATAATAAAAATTATTTATTTAATATTAAACTCGCAAGCCTCAAAATTCGAGCTTCACTAGGTTCGAACTTGGCTCGATTAGAAAACGAGCCTATATATCAGTCTCAAAGCTCAATTTAAATTGAGCCGAGCTGAACTTTTCACGAACTGAGTTCGAATAACTCGTAAAAGACCCGGCTCGTAGCCACCCTTAGGGGGGACATTAACAAACATGGATGAAGCCAAAATAATACAAGTGAGATATAAATGGGGATTATAGGGATTCTTACACAATGGGCGCGGGTCACATGTTTGGTATGGCCTGTTTATGGTGAAAACTGCAACACAACACAATGCCTTGGATTAGAAATGTCCCACTTCGATTGCGTAAAAGCATTGCATAAATTGCCCCACCAGTTTTTACTACCAAACAGGTTATGATTGACATGGAAACAGAATGTGGTGGAGTGTTGCGTGGCTATCTTGAGTTTTAACACCTCAACCTCAAATCCATCCACCAAATGAGCTTTTTGAGTCCCACTATATCATTCTCATTGAGATTTTCGTAGGGGTGCAAATCAGATATCTAATTTGCACCCCCTAGATTTTCAATTTTCTGTATCCAATCCGAGGCTAACAGCATTGATAAAACAAAGGTTGGTATGGCCATGAAAATGAAAACAAGGGGACATTGCAACCTTGAGGGTCCACCATCTGAATGACAGTTGAACATGGTTTTTAAAATCGGACCGGATCAGACAGTCGGATCAGAAAAACTGGGATGGGTCAGGTGACTGGTTCCGTTCTTCATTAAAATCAGGATTTCTCAAAAAACTGTTGATTTTGATTAGTAAACCGTTGATTTAGGCAATTAATCGGTTAAACATTCAAACAATTTTGACCATTTTTTATTTTTTTGTCAATCGAATGATTAGACCGTTCAACCCAATAACCAGACCCTTGACCCTTGACCGATTCAGTTTCCGAGTCAGTTTTAAAAACCATACAGTTGAAGGAAGAATATGTGAATAACTTGTATTGGCATGATCATGGTCATTAATTTAATGGGTTTTAGATCCATTCAGAATTAGATGTACTAAAGACGAACTAAAATATCAGAAAAGAACACATTTTGATAGTCAGGCTTTATTTCTCATATTCTTGATTTTGGGTTACAATTTTCAAACTCAAGTGGAACATCTTCTCTTCTCCTTTCTCTTATTCTCGTAAGAATCAAATAACTGATATTTCTTCTCTTTTCATTCTCATTCTTATTATAGAAGAATAAAAGTGTATTCAGGAACCTCATTTAACAATTTAAGCTTTCAGGTTGAACAGTTGCTTGAAATGATTTCATAGGCTATTTGACTATGGTAGGATTTCTTTCTTATCGCCCCCCATTATGATTAAGTAAATTTTAGCATAATTTATAAGTGAATACGATCTTGTCTATGTTTTAAGCCAAATA